TCAATCCCACCTGCAAAGGTGCTGCGCATAGGCCGAAAGCCTCACCAGGAGACTGGTCGATGGATTTGAATCAAACATGACAATAGCCCAATAGCCATTCAACGGAAACGAATGTTCTCAACAAAAAGCTTACCCTCTGGTAAACTAACATAGCTATTGAAAATGGCCATAGACATAGTGGATTTTCCCATTAAAAATTGTGATTTTCCATAGTTATGTAAACGTTTGCCAGAGGGTAAAGAAACAAGATTGATGAACATTGGGGGTCAGGTTGGACACCCTTTTTTAACCGCACCCATCTGAGTGGGTATCTCAGTGCCAATCTCATGGGTTCAGAATCCCACTTAAATAAGTGGCTTTACTACAGGATATATATTAGATTAGAGGCTTTTTCAGCAAAAACCTGCAAAAACCAACTATGAGTTGGTTTATCCCATGTTTATCCCATGTTTATCCTAACTCAAAGCTATATCATTCTGTATCCAACTTCTATTCTCCCAGGTCTCCCATGGCATCCCCACCTGCTCCACAGCTGCCGCGGCATGCCCCGCGGCGCCAACTTCCAAGGGTTGCGCCAGAACTCCTCGGTGGCACCCACGCACCACCAGGGGGCGGCGAACTCCACGTTGGGCAGAAAGCGCGTGGCATCGGACCTGAAATGCTGGAGTCTAGCAACAAGACTCAAACAGTATGGAAACGTCAAAAAACACAGTATAAATGGAAGTATGGAATTCCACCTGTGCTGATTCTTACTGTGAATTGCCCGAAACATATTGAAACATATTGAAACATCTACATGAAAGACATATGAATTCGGGTCCATTTTTGGATTTCATCCTGTCGCCATTCGCTGTGTTGCCGAGACACAGGTTGGGAGTCCCTCCATGCCACACACGGTTGTCCCTGAGGATGGCCGTGCCTGGGGGTCAGATGAGCCAATTTTTTTACAGCGATGTGACATCCTGAAAAACGGAAAACCCTCTGGTAAACATTTGACTAAAATGTGCAATCCTATTAGTTTTTTGATACCTCTGGTAAATCCCTATTAGTTGATAGTTGATAGTTAATAGTTGATTATAGTTGATTTACCTATATTTACAAAAAACGATGGAAAATCACGATCAACTAAATAGGGAAATCAACTATTTCTAGGTGCCAGTTGAAAAAAAGAGAACTGTAAGAAATTACCAGAGGATACATATGAAAATATGCGAAAATATGAGGGGATAATATGTGAATATATATATATATATATGTGATCATATCCTCCCCAAACTTTGGAGTGGTAGAAACTCTGTTCAACTCTGTTATCTCCGACACACGTTGAGATCACGACAGCTGCCCAGAGCCTGCTGGCAAAGGGCAGAAGGTGTAGTATCTCCATGCCTTGCACGGAGATGCAACCGAGTTCTGAATGTGAACCAAAGCTGGTTAAATGGGGGATATCGAACTGGGGATAACTTTCAACCATTTCTAGGCACTTCAGCATCTAGTTTCGGATTCCACAACTTACTTGAAGATGTTTGATGCAAAATCAATGCAAAATTCACATCTGGTCATCACAGATTAGCAGAATCCATGCCTTATCCTCAGCTTTTGAAACAGCTGTCCCACATACCAGCAGCTGGCTGAGTACTTGTAGTTCCAGTATCATGGCTTCACCCAGCCAAAATACCCGTCCAACGTGTTTTCTTTGAACCACGACAACAGCTTTCATTTGCCGAAAGGCAGGCAAGTAAGGGTAAAATATCGAAAGTTTGCAAAAAATGTCTACCCCACCAAAACTATGCACCTGACGATCCAAAGCAAAATGTGTTTGACCCACCCACCAGATCCGCAGCGCCTCAGGTTCCTCCATCTGACTGGGTGGGTCCCAAGCATCGGACCAGCCCTCTTTGACGCAATGGCTCCCAGGGATGATCCGCCTGAAGGCAGGGGATGCAGCTGTGATGAAACCCGGTGGTCTCTGGTACTCCCATCCCACTATGAACCACCCCCGAAACGGGCCCTCTAATGGTCCCAAGATATGTGGTTTATCCATGTTTATCCCCTACATCCATGGTTTCTGCGGGTGAAAATAGAGGGAAGGGAGAATGGGATGAGCTCTTTATTGAAAGAACACGGCAGGAATGTGGGATGAAGATTTAAGGGATGACTCCGGGATGACTCATCTATTAATATATCTCTTCTTCTCTTCCAAAAAATGGAAAGGTCCCAATTTTCGGGTGGGAATTGAAGATTGTGGAGGGAGGGGATTGGATAAACTGAAAAAGTTGGAATTCTTCATTGATTTTGGGATGATTCCCTTTACCAACCACCATCTAGCCACGTAATGGCGATGTCGCCTGAACCAATCTGTTCTTTGTACCCTCTGAGCACCATTTCAAGGTGATTTCCTAGCACTTTTCCTATAAAGATATAGGTTTTCCCAGGTTTGATGGGGATGAAACCCAGAGGGTAACCCCCCCTGTCGCCCCTTCGCCAGGCCACGTGGGCCCATTGCGCCACGTCAGCGGCTCCAGTGCCACGTTCAGCGTCACCACCGGCGCCCGGTTGTCGGGGTGAGCGCGGCAGCCGGGGAAGTCCAAGTCCATGTGGAGGGGTTGGTACTCCGTGACACCTGGCGACGGCGTACGGCATGTTTTGTTCACCTCAAAAAATGAGGGTTGAAGATGGTTGAAGCACGGTTTGCTGTTTTTCTGGGGATGTGAGTGATTAAACTATGAAAAATTTGGATGGTACCAACCAGATTGTTTTCTTCCTTCGGTGAAAAGAAATGGGATAGTAAGAGGTTTCCCAGTTTTAAGTTGATTTGCTGTTGGTTTGTGACCCCCATCTAACTATAGATGCATCCCCCATTAATCCCATGTTTTGCCTAGTTCGAAACCAATTCAGCCAACAAAATCCCATTACAAATCCCATGAAGTCCCATTATGTAAGCCCAACTAAATCTGAGAAAATTAAAATATTTCACTCACCTGAAACTTGCGGCCATTTGGGAAGGATTTTCCTATAAAAACCATGATTCCAGGGAGGAGAACCGGCTAACCGGTCGTGATGAAATTGACCATCTCCAAGGGCGCCAAGGGCCCACCTGGTCGAACGAAATCACCACCTGCACCGGCACAGAGATAGTCGTCGCCCTCAAAGATCTGCTGAAGCACCGGGGTCACCTGTCACGAAGCGAAGCTGCGAAGCTACTACGGGGGGACCGGTTTTTTTTACTCGTAAAAATGGGTGATGAAGTCTAATGAAGCATGGTTTTCATGGTGATGAAAAACAAAAACGGCGCGGGACCACGCCATTCAAGCTGTTTTTTTTTCAATATGATCCTCTTAAAACTCACGAAATATGATAGGTTTCATCATTCTATATATATATATATATATATCATTCCCCCAATCATTCAATATCTATATACCCTCTGGTAAACCTTTACATAACGAACTGGAAAAACACCATGCTATTAACGGACCTGCCTCGTCGAGGTCGATTAAGGCAGCCCATTCGGGGCGATGGAGCAAGTGCCCCGTCTTCTGCGCCTCTCCTGCGACACGAAAAAGATAGTGCCAAGTAGAAAATTGAAGGTGTAGATGTATGTATGTATATATTATATTATATATTATGTTATTATATTATACTATATTATATTATACTATATTATATTATATTATACTATATTATACTATATTATATTATATTATACTATATTATACTATATTATATTATATTATATTATACTATATTATATTATATTATACCATATTATACTATATTATACTATATTATATTATATTATATTATATTATTATACTATATTATATTATTATTATATTATATTATTATGCTATATTTTATTATATTATACTATATTATATTATATTATACTATATTATACTATTATATTATATTATATTATATTATATTATATTATATTACAATATATATATATATAGTGTGTGTATATATACATATATGGTGTGTGTATATATATACATATATTTATTAATACTAGTAGTGCTATTTATCGAGAATTATTAGTGTTAATATCCACTATATTCCACTAGTACATATATTCCACTAGTACATATTACTGTCATTTTTCATGATGATGCTTGACATTGGTCGCCTGAGTAATAATAGGAATGCGGCCAACAAGTATTCCTGAATGACTCCCCGCACCTACAGGTGGACTAGCAAGCTCCGGTAGCCAACCTTCATCCTTGATTTCACCAAAGATTTCAGACCATTTCAGCAAAACGAATATTCCACCAGCAAAAACGCTGGTCTCACCAGCAAAAATGAAAATATCACCAGCAAAAAAATACTGGTTGCACTAATGAAAAATCTGGTTCCAGCCAAAATGCTGGTGTCACCAGCATTTACACACCACCGGTTTGTGCGAAACTCCAGCCGTGTCGCCCAAAAAAATCAGCCCATTTCGCATCCTAAGGAGTAGCGCCCCGCGCCGCGATTCCCATCTTCACCAGGATCCCGTTGCAGCATCGCACGCTCCTCCTGGACAGCCCGTGGCGTTTCGGTGGTGAGAACTCCAGGAGGCCGGGAGGCATTTTCACCTTCCAACTCAGCTGTAACGTACTGTTATGTTATGTTATGAAATAGTATAACCATAATTATAACTGTAATTATAGTTATATTAGATAAAATTATATCATGTCATATCATATTATATCATATACTATATTATACTATATGATATCGTATCATATCATATTATATACGTTTATATCATATTATATTGTATTATATAATATGTACATGCGGCAACCTAGCATACCGTTAGTCCCAACGTAGCTTGCTTTTCAAGGTGGGTAATGCCAGTCCCAGCTCCATACACCCTACAAGATATACCATTATATCCCATAGTATCCCATCATATTGTTGCCTATATTCTTTAAAAAAGTCTACTGGATCTCCTATCATACCATTAACTATGGTCGGGTTATAATATCTTCCCCTGTTCATATTGAACACCCTCATTGTATGGTCCCAAATATGTGTGTGTTATCCCCTACATCCACCATGGTTTCCTTTGGGTTTTCTTAATTAGTTCGCACGGGATGGAAATTGATCACCGATTTTCCATGAATATTCCAAGTTATATTCCTCTTATATCCCATTATATCGCCCAAAAATATCCCTTTATATTCCATTAGTTGGTTAATAAAGTCAGAATATCCCGTTATATCTCATTCTTGGTTCTATTCCCACTATATTCCCATAATATCCCCGTGAATCACCATGATATGCCCCTTAACTTCTAGAAATACACTATAGATGACTTATGAACCCCATTAACTATAGATATATCTACCATCGCATCCTATATCCCCATGAATATTCCATTCATATCCCATAATATCCATATTGATCCCATAGATTTCCCATAGATTTCCCATACAATTTTTATCATTAGATGAGTTAGAAACCCTATCTTTCCCCATCTTTCCCACAGGATGGTGCCCCCCAGTTATGTTTGTTGGTTTATAACCCCATCGAAATAGAATTATTTAAGCGTATCCATACACTATCGTTATAGTCATGTTTACCAACTTGGCTACCCTCTGGTAATTTAACATAGCTATTGAAAATGACCATTTATAGTGGATTTTCCCATTAAACATTGTGATTTTCCATGGCTATGTTAAATTACCAACTTGGCTAACGAACTGGGGCCCCATGGGGCCCCGTCCCCCCATGCCTCCCGGCATGCGGCTGCCAGGTCCCGACACAGCTCCGGCGCCACCGCCCCCGGCAGCAGCACGAAGCCGGCGTCGGCGAAGATCTGCGCGGCCAGCGGCGCGCTGCGGGGCGAAGGGGGCACCTAGCGATGGCGAAGGGGGCAGGCTGGGGATGGTCTATCTTGTGATATAGATGTGTATGTATATATATAGATAGATAGATAGAGAGAGAGAGAGATAGATAGAGAGATAGATAGATAAATAGATAGATAGATAGATAGATATAGAGTAGGCGAGGGGCTCACTTTGGGCATAAATTCGAGCTCACTTGGGGCATGAATTTTTGAGGTTCACTTGGGCCCCAGAGATATATAGATAAAGATATATATATATACATATGTAGAGGGAGATAGATATAGACATAGATATGGAAACAGATATACTACCCAAAAGTACTCGGTGCCTCATTCTTCTGATGGACACAACTTAAGCCTGAGTCTACGGCTGGCTTTCGTAATTCTTTTTGAATCCACATATTTATATATAGTCATATATAGGGTATATAAATCCTTCCTAATGGATGAGCATCCTCCAAATATGGGCAATTTACCCTAGTTTTGACTCAAATGGAGAATTGTGGACATCTGCACATCCCCTGAGCAGTGTTCATAAACCTCTCACTCTTATTCCATTTAATCCTGATTGGATAAGAACCATATTCCCACAATGGATGATGATAACCCCCAATTATATAAGTAATTGGCTAGTAAAAGCCTCGAACTGATCATCAACCCACCATCATTGAGCTATATCCCCCCCATTTTGCATGGTTTCAATCCCTATTTACTGATCAATTCTTGCTTCCCTCATAGCACAGATGTTTTTCTGGCTCTCCCCCAGGGCGGCTTCACCGTGTACAGCTCGATCTGCGGAAGCCCATTGAGCTGCTCGAGACGCTGCAAGTCCTTAGAGTGCTCCGCTGTCGGAGATGTCCCATGCCGCCTATGCCAACCCAATCTTTACCCTCTGGTTATGTCAACATAGCTATTGCCAATCTTCAATTTCCGTAACAAACAACCAAAAAACAACAGCAGTTCTCCAGCAACACATTGAAAATGGCCATTTATAGTGGATTTTCCCATTAAAAATGGTGATTTTCCATAGCTATGTTAGTTTACCAGAGGGTATATCGTCTAAGTCCCCAAAATCCTGGGCACTGATGTATGTGAAAAATTAGTGTGATTCAGTACTGGGTAATTTTCACCGGAAAAAGGAATAATCGATGACTTCATGGAATTTCCTAATAGGGGCGGTCCCCAAAATAGTGAGAATTCCATAGTCAAAATTGGCACGCCCAACATTGCAAACCGGAGGATTATGAATATGGTTTGATATTACATTGTATGGTGGGGGCGAACACCAACCAAGGAGGCGTTCGACCAAGCAAAGAGGGATGGTTCTCAACGCAGAATAGGGATTTGGCACCAAAAACTGACCATCATGAGGATTTGAACCCCACAAAGCCGAAACAAACAAAAAATCAGGAATTACCCTCTGGTAATTTGTTACATAGCTATGGAAAATCACCATGCTATTAATGGGAAAATCCACTATGTCTATGGCCATTTTCAATAGCTATGTTAGTCATAACCAGAGGGTATATCCATGGAACTATCAGGCACAGCAAAACACCGGCATGGCTGTGACCTACCGGGTACCCGCTTCACCCTGATGGTAGTTCCGACACGGAACCTGGGATCCTGAAGCCTCAACCGAAACTAGGAATGGCCCCTTCAAATGTTCAAAGTATGACATCCCAACTGATGTGTTCCAACATGAAAACTACAACAATTGCTACAACTTCACTGAAACATTTTCACCATCAATTCACCGGCACTGGTTCAGTTTGGGCCTTGCTGTATAGTCATAGTATAGTCACTTCCAAAAAGATGGAAATAATTTACCGCAATCTTAGTAGGATCAAACTTTTCTATCTTTTGGTGGTTTGCTATATGCTCGTCCTACTCTATATTGGGTCAAGTCTCCCATTTTTGCTGGTTAAATCCCCATCGTGTCACCCACATTTCTATCATTTCGGTGGTTGCTACAGGGTGAAACCATGTGAAATCCACATGGTTCACCTGCCAAGAGTCACTTTCCCTCACCACGTAGCGCCTCACGTGACCCCTCCGCCACGTGTACCAGGCCAGTGCACCGGCCACCGCTCCGCCCCGGTGGCCACACGCCGCCGACGCCGGACGTGGCCGGGCGGCCGGTGCGGCGGGGCATCGACGACCATGCGACGACCATGCGACGACGTGCGGTGCCAACATCCGCTGTGAGGCAAAACAGATGGATCTCTGCTACCCAAAAAGATGGGGAGAATTGTATGGAAGAAAATTTGGGATATAATTGTATTAATTACCAACAATATATGTGATTCTTGGGGTTGTGAAATAATGAAGAAATTATGCTCAATCATGAGGAATGATGAGAAATGATCAAATAAATCTGTTCATCTAGTCCACCTAGCAATTTACGCTAAAGAAGAGGTGTCTGACAATGTCAGAGGCAAAAAGATCCGTTCATGATACTCTGTCTTGCTCTTTGAGTTTGCTAGTCGCTGTTGATATCACACTCACTTGATGCCAAACACGATGTACTGTGCCAAAGATTAGTGGTAATAGAAGGTACCTGCAGCCAAACCCACCTGGAAATATGATGAAACATGAAAGGTTCGTGGCCACCGTGGATGCTTGTGAACGAAAGGCCAAAGCCGCATGTCAAGGAGAATAACGAAAGTTTGGGCCACATAAAACATCATAAAACCACATGATCCACATGTCCATTGAATTCAAATCAAGTTATTCAAGTGAATCAAGGTGCCCCTGGCCGCCGGAAAAAAACCGGCCCGCCTTTCGCCGCTGCTCCAACTCGTACTTCAGCTTGCCGGCCCGATACTCGTCTTGCTCCTGGTCCGATACTCAGCTGACCATCCCCATGGCAATCCAAGCTGGTGAAAATGTTGGGAAATCCCAGGAGGTTTCCTAAAATGGGGATACTGCAGATACCCTCTGGTTATGACTAACATAGCTATTAAAAATGGCCATAGACATAGTGGATTTTCCCATGAAAAATGGTGATTTTCCATAGCTATGTAAACGTTTACCAGAGGGTACCCCAAAATCATGGCTTTCAATACTAAGTCATGGTCATCCATGACAACTGGATGATTTGGGCTACCCCTATGACGTAGGAAACCACCATATGGCCAAGAGTGAGTTTCCAACTGCCAGCTGTCTATGGTCCGCCCGAACTGGGGGCAGCTGAAGTGCTCATAGCCACTAGGCCACCAGCTGAAGAAATGCTTGGCTTATGATTGATTTCCTGAAAAATAGTATCAACTATCTACGATTCATGGTTGCTTTCCTGAAATTCGTGGGAATGTACCCTCAATCTGATGGAATTCCAAATGCGCAAGGTTCCGTTTTCAGTACATCCTCATGTTCCTTTTAGATTTCTTGAAATCATTGGCTCTACCCTCTAGTAAACTAACATAACTATGGAAAATCACCATTTTTATGGGTAAATCCACTATAAATCAAAATTTTCAATAGCTATGTTTGTTTACCAGAGGGTACCAAGTGTATGTACTGCCACTTCATAGAGCAACCGATGATTGTCATGATTCACCAACCTGAAATATGCACCGATGGGCCATCGATGGGAAAATCCCCCATTTTACAAGGATGACAAGGGTCGTCATAGGGGATGAACCCACTTCATGGATTATGATTGATAATCTCCAGTACATAAAAGGGTAGTATAGTTAATTACAGTCTCCCATATTAGATTTGTAAACATATACTACATATACACTGTATATATACTCCTATATATACACTCTATATATATATACTATATATATACACACTATATATATACTATATATACACTATATATATACTATATATACACAATATATATATATACTATATATACACAATATATATATATACACATATACACTATATATATACATATATACACTATATATATATATACATATATACACTATATATATATACAAATATACACTATATATATACATATACACTATATATATACATATATACACTATATATATACATATATACACTATATATATATACATATACACTATATATATATATATATCTATACATATATACACTATATATATATTATATATACACTATATATATATGTGTATGGGTCAATTACAATATTTCACTGACCTGAAATAAGGCGATATTGCAACAGTTCTCCCATTCACCATCCAGTGAGGTCGCAGGTCCTTGATTCGCTTCAGCTGCCTCTCTTCGGCACCTGTTGAGAAAACACCCAATCTGTAGAGACGTTAACCAAACATGAGGGGATATACTCCAAAATCTATCTATCTATCTATCTATCTAATCTAATCTACTGTACTCTACTCTACTCTACTCTACTCTAATCTATAGATATGGCATATGGCCATTTTCTGTGGGGAAATTGAGGTGTTGAACCCAGGGAATCTCTGGGTGCCATTTTGCAGGCGGCATTCACAAGCCATGTCCCCCCTTGAACATCACCTGCGTGGCTGATATTCCCAAATAGTTGTGTGATGTTGAACAGGACGTTTAGATCCCCCAAAAGGACTCCGATCGGAATTGCTCAGCACTTGGAAACATGCCAAGAAAATCCGGTCTTAGAAAAATCTCTTGACATGGGTCAAAAAGTTTAAGCCGTAATGTTTTTAGTATATAGGTTTCATATGGTTTCATATGGCAGTGTGTCAAAATCTTGTACCCCTGTAGTTCACATCAAAATAGCTGGGATTTATGGATGTTCATCCCACTAAAAATGGTATTAATAGGTATTGATCCATAGCCATATTCACAATCCAATTCTTGGAATTGACCCACCAGTCGCCGCACCTGTGAGTGCCGGGGGCGGCGAAGTGCCATCCGCCAAGAAGCGGCCACTGCCGAAGACCTTGAAAAGATGTTTCATTGGATTGGTTTAAAGGAACATCTACAGGAAAATCATGGTTTTTACCATTAAATATAAGGGTTTCTACAGGAAAATCATGGTTTTTACCGTTAAATATAGGGGTTTCCTGTAAATATTCCCTTAAATCAATCCAATGAATGGTGGTTGGAGGAGTCAAAATTTTGACTTAACATGATTTAACCATTAAAAGTTGGATTTGGCCCAGCAGAATTCCGATGTGGAAGCAACTGAAATGGGATCTTAACAAACTAAAGTTGGGAATTCACTGTATAGATTTAGAAAAGACATTTGACCAAGCAAAAAGGGCATTCAAACAACAACAGAGAGATTTGACCAACATCATCATATCAGCTTTTTCCCGAGAGCGTCTGAGCGCAGGGTTCTTCCAATAGTGGGGGTCTGTAAAACATCTTCTCATCTTCACATCTCATCTTCACATTCTCTCATCTTCACATCTTCTCATCATCTTCACATCTTTTCATCTTCACATCCTCTCATCTTCACATCCTCTCATCTTCACATCCTCTCATCTTCACATCTCATCTTCACATCCTCTCATCTTCACATCTTTTCATCTTTACATCCTCTCATCTTCACATCCTCTCATCTTCACATCTGCTCATCTTCACATCCTCTCATCTTCACATCCTCTCATCTTCACATCTGCTCATCTTCACACCTTCCCATCTTCACATCTTCTCATCTTCACATCTTCTCATCTTCACATCTGCTCATCTTCACATCTGCTCATCTTCACACTGCTCATCTTCACATCTTCTCATCTTCACATCTTCTCATCTTCACATCTGCTCATCTTCACATCTGCTCATCTTCACATCTGCTCATCTTCACATCTGCTCATCTTCACATCTGCTCATCTTCACATCTGCTCATCTTCACATCTGCTCATCTTCACATCTGCTCATCTTCACACATCTGCTCATCTTCACATCTGCTCATCTTCACATCTGCTCATCTTCACATCTGCTCATCTTCACATCTTATCTTCACACCTGCTCACCTTCTCTCTCACGCCTTCTTTTTATCTTTCTCTCTTAAGGCCGAGGGTGGTGCCGGCGGCGAGTCACGAAACGTCAACCCTTTCGCACGAAATGAGGATCGATCGGCAAAAACTGAGGTAAAATTGCGATTTGACTTGTCCTGGAGCAACCCTTTCACACGAAATGAGGGTCGATCGGCAAAAACTGAGGTAAAATTGCGATTTGACTTGTCCTGGAGCAACCCTTTCGCACGAAATGAGGGTCGATCGGCAAAAACTGAGGTAAAATTGCGATTTGACTTGTCCCGGAGCAACGCTTTCGCACGAAATGAGGGTCGATCGGCAAAAAACTGAGGTAAAATTGCGATTTGACTTGTCCCGGAGCAACGCTTTCGCACGAAATGAGGGTCGATCAGCAAAAACTGAGGTAAAATTGCGATTTTTCGTGTGCCGGAGCAACGCTTTCGCACGAAATGATGGTCGATCGGCAAAAACTGAGGTAAAATTGCGATTTTTCGTGTGCTGGAGTAACTTTTTCGCACGCAAAGAGGTTTATGTGTACGAGTGTTTCTGTACGAGTGGAGCAACCCTTTCGCACGAAATGAGGGTCGATCGGCAAAAACTGAGGTAAAATTGCGATTTTTGCTTGTGCCGGAGCAACCCTTTCGCACGAAATGAGGGTCGATCGGCAAAAACTGAGGTAAAATTGCGATTTTTCGTGTGCTGGAGTAACCCTTTCGCACGAAAAGGGGTTTGTGTGTACGAGCGTTTCTGTGTAAAGATGTTTGTGTGTAAAAGTGTTTGTGTGTACAAGTGCATCTGTGTAAAAGTGTTGTGTGTAAAACCTTCTGTGTGTAAAAGTCTTTGTGTGTAAACGGGTTTGTGTGTACGAGTGTTTCTGTGTAAAGAAGTTTGTGTGTAAAAGTGATTGTATGTAAAATTGCATCTGTTTAAACGTGATTGTGTGTAAAAGCTTCTGTGTGTACAAGCGTTTGTGTGTAAAAGCAGCTCCTGTGTGTAAAAGGGTCTGTGTGTAAAAGTGTCTGTGTGTAAAGGCTTCTGTGTGTAAAAGTGTCTGTGTAGAAGCGTCTGTGTGTAAAAGCTTCTGTATGTAAAAGCTTCTGTGTGTAAAAGCTTCTGTATGTAAAAGCTTCTGTGTGTCAAAGCTTCTGTGGGTAAAAGCTTTGTGTGTAAAAGCGTCTGTGTAAAAGCGTCTGTGTGTAAAAGTGTTTGCGATGCCAACTATTGTCTTGCACTTCTCACTATTTTGTCTTGATACTCCTCTTCTCGACTGCCTATAACACAGCTTTCATATATCGTTTCTAATATTGCGTCTCCATACTCACAAGAGAAGACCCTGCTCCTCTACGCTCTCGGGCCATCCGTCGTCTAGTTGACTCACAAAAGACAAATGGACTTCACCGGCACAAAATCGCTTCTGAACCCATTACCAGCAGGGGTTGATCGGGATATGAGCAAGGATAAGCAACAATTTGGCGTATCTCAGAATGATTCATATTTTTATTTCTTGTGTTCGCAATACACCGGGGAGTAAATTGGATAGTGGGCTGTTGTGGTCATCGAAGACACAATGTGGTCACTTCAAAGTCACCGAGTGAAGGCAACCAATAAAAACTACCCAGCAATTCGTCAACATCTGTTTCATCCCAGTTTCATTCCAGTTTCATCCATCCCACATCATCATCCCACCATGGCCCGTTCCAGGCCAGGCACCTGCTTATCTCCCATAGCTTTGAACATGTTGTTGAAGCTCTTGGCAGCCTTGTGCTCGATCGCCTTGATCTCCTGGAACCAGCAAGATCACAAAAGTACCCGGTCATCAAACAAAAAAAAAACATGGAAAATCATGGGAAAAATCATGGAAAATCATGGGAAAATCATGGAAGAAAACCTCTATAAATGGAGGTGTCTGTTTGGGAAAATCATCGAACTGTTGCTGAGGGGATTTTCAGCATGTGACTGATGACACCGGAGGGTAGTACTGGTCGAAAAACCGAAGTCGCTACGAAACCAGACTGCCAGACTGCCAGACTGCCATAACTGCAAGGTGTAACACCATCTTTACCCACATAGAGGTGGTTTATGGTGGTTTGAAGCTGGCAAACAGTAGACCTACATAGACCTACTAGCTCTAGTCACTATGTTCCATTCCCACCCAAATCTGGATGGTCGCCCACCTGACAGAGGTCATCTAATTTTTTGAAGTTTGAAGTCGTTGAAAGTGATCAATCTGACCTGAGAAAAACAACCATATGACAGCATCCTAGGTCTGTTTCAAACTCAAAAACTCATCATCAGCCATATCCAACAAAATATCCCCGTGTTGTGGGATAAAATGCCCATTGTATCTCCAAAGTTGATGGTTTGAAGCCAAAATAATCCCATAAATGTTCCATGACATTGGACAATATGCCCACTATGCTCCATATTCGATTTCAAAAAATGAATCAACTTGTCAACTCAAAAAAAAATGTCCCAAAAGAAAATTATCCCACTAAGTCCAACTTAAAACTCAACAGTCGTCTCATCATCTCCAACCAGTTCCCACAAACTCGTCACACCCAGCGGTTCCTCGCGTCGTTCTTTGACATCGTCCAGGATTTGTTCCCTGAAGTCCTGGTTCGGTGGATCAGATGAACTGCCAGTTGCAGTATGCCAATAGTAATATATACCCAACTGAAGATGGAATATTGTTTGATATAATACATCTATCTACATCTTAAAAAAATATACTGTAGAAGACAAAACTGACTAAACTCCGACAGTTGCTCCAACTTAGTCTAGCCATATCTTTACGGCACATGACATGGCTTTGTCTGAAGATTTAGGGGAACAGCCCCAACAATTGGCCGTTTGATCATCCTTTCCCCATTTTCCCATGGGGAAAAAAACCCATTCTCAGACCCAGATATCTGTGAAGAACTCCAGCTGAAAATGGATCTTCACCTGTGCCTCCTGATCCTTCGAAAGACTTGATGTAACACTTGGATTAGAAATCGTAAGTCAAACAGTTCCCTCTCATCATCGAGCTTGCTATGGTATAGATGGCTCAGCAATACTTCAATGATTTACCATGATTTACCTATTTTGTTTGCTGATTTTCCACGGCAAACTGTGAAATCCCCAGGTCCCCAGCAGATATCGATGCGAAAAAAAACCCTCGTGGTTTTCATGGTGAAGTCCCAACATTGTGTTTTGTAAACCCAAGACTAAAGCTACCATTTGGGATGATTGTTATCACCCGTGTTTATATCCATAAAAAAATGTTGCGATTGTGGTGATGATTTATCATTGGCTTTAAATCTATCTGGGTAAATTATAATATTTCACTAACCTGAATTAAGGCCTCATTTGGAGATGATTTCCCTTATTAACCATGATTTCCAGGGCGAGGTCGCGACGTGAGGTCGTGATGAAATTTACCCAGATCTATGAATCCCCATTGAGAATCTCCCCACCTCATCCATATCTTCGGCGATCTGTTCCACTTCATCCAATACTTCCAAGGCCTCTGAGATCCGGGGGGAACCCCCCCATCTTGGCGGCTGAATCTCGTTGGATACATATCCCATGCCATGGGATTCTCCAAAAATATGATGGGGGAAAAAACACTTACCCTCTGGTAAACTAACATAGCTATTGAAAATGGCCATTTATAGTGAGTTTTCCCATCAAAAATGGTGATTTTCCATAGTTACGTTAGTTTACCAGAGGGTAAAAGACCAAGCAAACTGTAGTTCCTCCTCAAATCACATCAGTTTTGGGCCCCAAAAAAGGTGGATTGTCAAAGCAAAGCGCTTTGTTTTGTCACTGCGAAATCCTCCGCATGTTGGGATGGTTAGTCAGTTAGTCATGGGGATTAAACCCCAGAAAAAAGGTAACCCCACCAATAGTAGATGGTAAATAAGCCGCGTGTTGAAAAAGTGGTTGGTGGTTCATAAGCCTTCAATAAACCCCTCAATTGTTCGGGTCACCTGAAACAGGGCTTGGACCCCGAGAATCAGCTCTACAAAAACCGAAAAAAAACTTCCCGGTGCAGTTCCGCTTAGAAGTGGATATTTTTCTATAGATATAAGGGTTCTATCCCAACGTATGAAGGTTATTATTTTGCCGCGTTTTTATAACCAGTACTAACCCCAACTGCACCCAACTGCGTATATTTGGCAGGGTCTATTTTAATTGGGGGGAGTGGTATTAGGCAGTCTCATTGTTCCCCAGTGTTCTAGGGCTTGTTTCTTGAAACAGTGGGGCAGCCGTATGTGTCACATCAATTTGGACACCCACTGTGACCCTCGTGAGTACCACCAGGTAATAACAGCTGGTGACAATAAATCATGATGATAGCACCGATACTGTATATGATAGGAATGTCAATGGTAAATGACTGGTGACAAGAGCCAAATGTGTGTGTTTCTCAATCTTAAATCTGTGAAAGGATAAATGTCAAATCCCTAACATATCTGATATGGTAGATGTTTAATGACAATGAATGATACTGTGGCACCACCAATAACAGACCCATTTGTGGCGTATCGATTTTAATATTCAAACAAACGGAAAAAATCGGCAGATTGTCTTATATCCACTACTTAATATCCCATCATATCCCCATTACCTTCCCATAGAATGATGTGTAAATCATTCTGTAAATCCCTAAATATTCTAAATACCACCATGAGTCCATAAATTACTCCCCGAGTATCCCATCATATCCCCATAAAGTGTTGATAATCCTCCAAATTTTCCACTAAATAGCCTAAATACCCTCCAGTAGATCAACAATAGACCCTGGTAGATAGGGGTTAGAAATGTAGTTTCCACTCAAAATATCTAAAAATTGCTGATGTTCAGGTCTATGTTAAATGTACCAGAGGGGTAGCTATGTTTTGTGGTCCAAACAAAAACCCACCACTCCGTGAAGACCCTGATGCCTCATCAGTCCGTCCTAGACCTGAGCATGTCGCCGACGCGGAGATCATGATATCAATAAAGCTACCTGCAGGATAGTATCAATAAATAAAGATAGTAGCTAAATCAAGATAAAAATATATATATATCAAATCAAATCATTCATGTTTTCATCATGGTAAAAACGAGAAAAATACCATGGATTCACATCATATTTTTTCTGTAGATCCCCATGCTCCTGATCTCTCCAGGCTTGCGACCTTCCAGAGCTTGTGCCTTCCGGAAGAGTGCCTTTTCGAAAAAAAATCGAGTGGAACATCGGAAAAATTCAGCAGTCAATCGAGGTCACGAATTCGTCTCTTTGATCAAGAAATTGCACAGATTTTGTTTGTGGAAAAAAAAAAACATCTTGTGGGCTTCTAAAACATCTTGGGGGGGTAAACGGAAACCAGAAACCATTTAAAAAATGGCAATTTCACAAGAAAAGATCGGGAATTTCACTCCCCAAAATATGTTTCATGACAAGTCTAGGTCCTGAAAACACCAACAAGCCGTGGGTGCAAAAGGTTACCGATGCTTGACTGTCGTTGATGGGAAACCATCACCCTTCTGAATGAAAAAAGAGGAGGATTCCAGTCATGTTGGATGAAACCAGAGGATACAGATGGATACAGCACTTCATTCTTCCCTTCCACCTTGTACCCTCTTTGAAACGCCCATTTGAGATTGCCCTAAGAAAATTGGGTGGAAAAAATTGAGCTCCATACCTCATACCTTTGGACCCCATGTGAGGAATCGACCAATACCCAATTTCGGGGTATAAAATGTGACTTTAAACCCTGGTAAATGCAATAGGTCCTATGAAAATTGGTTGATGGGGACCGGAAGAAAAACGTGGGGACCAGAAGAAAAACAAACAAAAAACTTATATAATTATATATATATATATACAGTATATATATACATATAATCACTAAAAGTATCTAAAAGTTCCATAAGAGAAAAGTATCGAGATGTTCACTCATGCCTATGCAACCAACTGTGCCTTCTCATCGTCCATCTTCAGCTTCAAGGCCGATTCGGCCCTTGGGTGAGATGGTGTGAGTAGCAAAAAATGAATGGAACCAGTTGCCATTTTTGCACTTTGGGAGCCCACAAAACAAGTGAAACGGCCATCTGAAGTGGATATGTTCAGACAAGGTCTTGCGGTCCTGAACTAACTGACCACGGATCCAAGAAGGGGCTGAAGCGGGAAGGATTGCAGATCAAAACTATGTTTCTGTTTGCTCCCAATAAGTGGGAAGCCAGAAAATCAGGAGGAAAAAACATGTTTCAGCAATTCAATTGAGAGATGACCACCAATACTCATGGAGCCAACTGTTTAGTCACATGATTTTTGAGCAAGTTATACATGATAAAAAGAAATGGGAGACAAGCTAACCACAGTGGCTAAGTAAGCCAAAATGGTCGTCCCAGAAGCTGCGAGCCCAGTGAGATTTGGAGCCAACTGGTCAGGGAAGATCCCTTCAAAATATTGCCTGTAAAATGACACGCTACCTGGTACCTCCATTTTGTATATCTGAACAAACCATTGAACAGGTTCCTTCAAGGTCGTTTTCTTGGAAGTTGCGACATGTGGCCACCACATTCTTCGCTGACGAAAGAGAAAAGCTCTTCATCTAGGGATGGCAGGGTTTTCGGCGAAATGACGAGTTGTTGAATCCCTGTTGTTCTTCTTGTTCTTCTTGTTCTAAAGATATTTTTTGGTTCCAAATTGCTGTTCGTTGTTGCTCATTGATATCACCATGTTGGTGAAATCCTCCATTTTCTTAATATTCCGGCTGGTGCCCTTAAAGCCCCCTGCCCCGTAGCAAAACCCCATCTAACTATACTTGTAATATCTTGTAATCACCATAAACCGCAGTACAATGATGGTATCTTCACCAACTTAGAAAAAACTATGGGGTATCCATTTTTGTTCATGATATCCCAAGTGAGTTGCTGCTTAAACCACCATTTCGTTGCTGAAATCCCCCATGTTGTTCCGAACAGAGCATCCAAAATCCCATGAAATCCCATTGAAATCCCATGAAATCCCACGAAATCCCATGAAATCCCATGAAATCCCATTGAAATCCCATTGAAATCCCATTGAAATCCCATGAAATCCCATGAAGCCCAACCAAAATCCTTAATGGATATCCCAAAAGTTCCCCCATCTTAGCCGCCGGGCGCCCGCAGCGCCGTCTGCCACTGGTCCATCTGCAGGGCAGCATTGGCCTGGGAACCATGAAAAATGCTGAGTTCATGGGGGTTCCATGGTGGTTGATTCGGATTTCCTAGGATTTATAACTGGATCTTATTGGGAGTTGACCATAGTTTGCCCACAAAATGCAAGAGATGAACCATCAAAAAGGCTGATTTCATGGGGATATACCCTGTGATAATTGTGGTTTCATGGGGATTGACGAGCAAGAATGGCGACTTGATAGGAATGAATCGTGTTTTTTGTGGAACATTTCATGGGAAATGGTCCATTTTCGTAGTCAACGATCATCACCTGAGCCAATTAATGGGATGGAATTGAATGGGATAAATATTAAAAATAATATATATATATATATAGATATAGATATGTGATATAATATGGATATAAAATATGACAGGGATGTATAATAGAGAGATATGAATTGTTGGCCAAAACCACCTTTTCGACAAGTCCCCTAGCAATCAGCAGAGATGTTTTTGAACAATTGTCTCAGCTAGATAGGTTCCCAGTTCGATGGTTTTGGGGTGAAATCTGACCCAAGAGCCATGATTTGGGGATGATGAGACAGTGGCATTTATCAACTTTCCGCTGATCTAAGAGCTCTTTTGCAGACATCTCTTGGTTCCATGTTCCAAATGCTCCAAGATAGAGATCTTTTGGGGGTGCAGAAAAAAACACGGAAAATCACATGACAAAACTGAGGTAAAATTCGTTGAAATGCCCTATTTGTAGATGTTTTCCTTCACTTTTTGGGTCCAAATTTGAAAGCCACCAATCAGCAACATGTCAGTGAGTGAAACGCGGAGCATAGATGTGGGATTTGATGTCGATTTGCAGTGCAATTTTTCCGGTCGAATTTTATGGTCTTTTTCCTTGCGGGAAAACCATGGACTTTTTGCCCAAATTTTCCTATGGATGATCCCATCGGAAGCCAAGCCTTGTTGTTCAAGCACTGGCGGTGCATCGTCTTCAATTCCTGGTTTTGGAGCTGAGGTTTTGGTGGTTTTGCATTGGCAAACCCTCTGGTCATCATGGCTTGATGCAAAATCTTTAAAAAAATCCAGGTTTTAGTGGCAAACTCATGCCATGTTTGATTACCGGAGGCTAACCCATGAAAAAAAAAAATGTGAGTTTCAGTCCCTCCAATTTTCACAGCACGACCCTGCCAAGAGTTGGAGATAAACAACTGAAACAGTGAGGAGTCCCTTAGGGTCCAACTGTTAGTTTTTCGGGGATGGTAAGACGGGGGCTGACCTATCAGCAAAATCCGAAAAGAGGAATTCAGAAAAACTTGGTTGGTTGACAGGGATTCCCTTAATGGATTGTGATCTTCCCCAAATGTTGGTTAGTGTAATCCCCTGTAATCATCAACCAACAGGGGTTGTGATCTCTACACCACAGAGTAATTGGAATCCTCACTTTGTGAGATCATCCTGTACACGAAAAATCCCTGGGGTCTCGGGTAAGTTTTCACACCCGGTTCTTGGGTTCCATATGACAAAACAGTGGAGTAAAATCACCACGTCATGTCATCAATCATCCCAAAAAAAACCAAGAAAAGTCATCAAAACCCAGCGGTTTTATGCCGGAGAAATCTATGAAATCCCAGCGATGTTCAGCCCCCCAGGGGATCAACCACGGGTCCGTTTTCGTCGCGTCGCGCCTTGTTTTCCTTGTCGAGATGGGGCTCGGCGGCAAAGTTCTTCAGCATTTCGTCTCCTTGGCAGTACCTCAAATCGGGGTGACGATAAATGGCTCGTTTCAACTGGGGAGCTCGGGATTTTTCTTTTGGAAATGTTGGAAGATTTTGATGGGAAAGCATGGAATTTTCTGGGAAAAGTATGGTAGCTATTGTTCATGGCAAAATCATCGAACTAAACAGGGAAATACTAAGGGAAAACTCATGCAGAAATCATGGGGATATACCCTCTGGTAATTTCTTACATAGCTAATTATAGAAAATCACCATGCTATGAAGTTATAGGTAAACCATCTATTTCGATTAGGGCCATGGCTTCCAGTTCGCAAACTTGGAGGATCCCACGGATCGCAACTGGTTAACAACCCTGGTTGCTTGAACAACCCTGGTTGGTCAGTGCCCTAAGTGTATACATACATATATAAGGATAGTTATAACTACGGTTACTAGCTAGTTATGAAATGGGATGATCCTCTTTTGCACTTTTCTAGTCACCCGCTCCCATCGAAGAAACGCAGGCACCAGCAACCCATGCTCGGAACCAACGAATCCCAGGTATCAAAAGCAGTTGCTCCTCGTTGTTGGTACATGATACATACCTTTAAAATCCTTAAAAATTCGCCCTAATGCATGTGCTTGGGTAGCCCTCCAAGTAGTTCCAAAAAGCTCTCCATTGGGCCTGGGGAATGTGCATGCCGCTCGGCTCTCCGCTCCATCATATTTTTCATCATATCCCTGATTGCATAGAAAAATAAGGCCCATACTCTTCCAATTTGGTTCCTATAAAAAAAAAATGGAAATCACCAGTTTTTGAAAACGCTAAATCATCTTCTGGCCTACCAGTAACTCAAAAACCGAGTTATTCGGGTCCAATACCACCATTGACATCCACCAATTTAAAGAAAAAGAACTCGTTCCCTGGAAAAGTCGCCTGGTAAGAGCTCCTTCCCAATTCTCGTTCAGGAAGGCCTCCGATATTGTTGTTAGAGGAAGTGGGCGTTTTATCCCGTGGGAAAAAATCCATGGAAAAAGTGAGGGGTTGTAATGGAAATCCTATGTCAATGGGAAATGATGGGTTAGACTCGGAAAGGATTGAAAATAGTGGGGAGTAACGGGAAAACACCCCGATCCACTGGTTGATTCTAATCATTCTAACCATATTCCCCATGAAAAATGGCCACCAACCGCAGGTCTGACACACCCAAAGGGGTGGTCAAAAAGATGGACCGAAATGACTAGCTAGTAGGTTTCCTGGAGCGGATCTAGATGTTGTTGGTCAACAGAACTCAGGCACCAACAAAAAGGTGGCTAAGTCTAGTACCCAAAAAAAAATCGACAAGTACAATCCCCCGTAGTGGGAAGCAATTGTTCTATCTTTTTCTGGGTGGCTGTTTACTAGTTTGTTCTGGCAAGAATGCAAGATCTATCAAAACCTCACCCAGTTTCGTTCGCAGATAGCATCGTTCTTGACCCAGTCAGGGGTGAAGCTGGACTGCCCTCCCCCCAGGGCACACCTCGTTCCCTTCCGTCTTGATCTTCTGCCCAAAATCGAGGACGCCCTGCAGATGACACGGGGGTCCAACAAGTTACAACGCCCAAGAAAAAGTGTATTTTGTGTATGCATCTGAATAATCTATTTTGGCCAAAATGAAGGGAAGGACAAATATAGAACAACTTGAGACTCAAACAACTGATGTTTCTCCGTCTAGTGGCCTCAAACTTGAGCCATCCTCAAATGAAGGTGGTCCAGAGTCCACCAAGACCCATCTACGCTATCGATTGAAGCTTTCCGAGCTGGGAGAACTTGGTTACATTAAATGGCAGCCCGCAGTGAACCCTGGCATATCCAGATAGGAGAACCACAGGTTCCATCTTTGAAGACTGCAAATCTCACCATTTACAGTACATCAAAGACTCTTGGGGGGAAAATTCAGTGCCCAAATTGGATTGTTCTGCTGATCTCATGTAGCAAAGTTTCCAAATCATCCCTTTCTTTTTTGGTGGGGGCGTTTCACTAGATGGTTAGTAAGTGAGTAATAAATTCTCCAATACATACCATGGTCCACAAGCCTCACCCTCGCACTGTGCGAAAAAGATCCCAGTCGTCGAATTAAACGTCTGACGTGTTTGTCTTAAACGACCTGGAAGCCTGGCCATTTCCCATGGTTTCCCTTTAAAAATGGCCGGACTTCCAGAAAATCTGCTTCAGCCATGTCAGAGGAGAATCCCGGTGGCATCCTGCACCGATCGGACCTTCGGAACGTGTTTTTTTCAGCATCTGGGGAGATCCCATTTACAAATCACATTTACAAGAGGTGTAAGTGTGCAAAGTGGATGTGTCTGAAAATCAAACATCCTCATAAATTCACCATTGATTGAAATCCATTGACCCTCCGGTAATCAAACATTGCTGCTAAATCCGCTATTTACAGATCAAACCTTCATTTATAGAGCATTTTCCAGCCACGTTTGATGATGAGGGTAATGAGAAGAACGATGATAAACCGTAAGATTTGGGTGTTTTCCCATGGCCCGCCTGAATCTCTCGTCGATCTAAGACTTGCTTGCGGTCCGGTGCCTGTATGGTGACGGCTTGATGCCTCAAATACCCTGAAAACCCTTCAAAAGCACGGAGATCCTCCAAAAGATTGAGACATGTTGGTAAATGGGGCATAAAACCAACTCATGCTGGTTGAGCCAACGAAGATATGGATTGTACCAACCGCAGTTCAAGCGTTCAAGAATGTGTTGGACCAACCAGTTGGTGGTTGGTGGACCAGTTCATGGTGGTGACCGCAGCAAGAAAACAATGATCCCTGGCATGGCCGCTGGGTTTTTCTTGGAGAATGCACGTGGATCTATGCCATGTTGTGGGTTGTTTACATAACCGAAAAAGAACCCCCCAAAAAGATTCAGAAAATGTTCAATTCATCATTGTTTTAGAATCGGATTTACAATTTGTCTGCATCTTTTTGGTGATTTGGACCTATCCAAATTCCACCCATTTCGCTCACCCCCATCTGAGCCAACCCATGCCTCACCATCGATACCCCCAGGGATACAATCGGCTTCCACCACCATCTTGTCCATCAAATCTTCCTCCACCTACAAACATCCTACTTGGTGGTTCAAGCCAGGAATCCTAAGTTGGTGTTCATTCCAATTTGAAGTAGGGTAGGGGCAAGGTTCAGAAAAGAGTTGGTTTAGTGGCACCCATCGAACTATAGTTGCAAGTACCTTAAACCCCAGGAAACCTAGTGAACTAAACCAACTTAGCTAACGAACAGGGGCACCACCTTGCATGACGCACCATGCAAAAAAGAACTTAACAAGGACGAACTGATAGAAGCAACAAGAAATTGGGATGAAACCAACCATTTTCTGGGACTTCATAAGAATAACTTACATATATATATATATATTATATTATATTATATTGTATAATATGATATAATATATATATATAATATTATATATATATATCCTATACCCAACCATATGGAATACAATGGAATATAGAAAAAGCAACGGATGCCGCCAACCATATCAATACCTCATGGAAATCTGATCTGGGCCTCATAAATTTGGGCATCCCCCATGTTATGCCATGAAAAACCCAGTAATTTTAGCCAACCACCTCCAGGATTGGAAGATTGGCAAATAGGATGGTTCCCTATTTACAACCCATTTTTCAAAGCCTGGGCAAAATCGTCGTTTCCCCCGGTTTGGATGGCAATCCAAACCGATTTTTGGACCAACCAAAGGACTGATCAACTGGAGATGGCTGGCCTCTTCTTCAGCTTGCCAGCCGGCCACTCCATAGGGACCTGCCGTGATCTCGGCCTTAATCGCCTGCAGCCGGTGGTAAACCTGTGGTTGCCTGGCGCAGTGACGGCCGTGAATTCGTCACTATAGTTTTTTAGTTGACATGTCTGTTTTGATTCATAACTCATAAATGTTCATAACCTGCGACATTGTATGGATATGCCGTACAGCTACAAAGCAGCTAGAAAAGCCAGCTGCTAAAAGGGCTGCCATGAAGATGTGCTTGGTATCCCATGTTCAAAACAATGTCTGGGTCCAGCCAAGTGAATAGATTCAACACTAAACCAGGATTTCAAGGTGTTTTATCAAATATTGTTTAGGGCAATGGGAATATTTGACCAGCTGACCTGTACTGCTATGTATTCATTTTGCAGTAACGATTTCTTGTCTGATGAACCTAAGCAAAACCAACACGTATCGTTGGTTGATCAATAACCCGCGAATACACCAGTGACAAATCCTACAATCGCAAAATGGTGCAGAGTCACAAGCCGTAATCAAGCTCCAAATCAGCATGTCTGATTTTGTTGAACATCCTTACAGTGCCTTACAGTATTCTTCCACAATGTTTGCTGGTGATATGCCACAGTTTCCACCCACCATGGCGCACCGTAACTTGTCGCAGAAAAGAATCCCTTCTTTTCGAGCTTCACACAGTACCTGAGATTCAGCCAGGAATTTGGTCAGCCACAGTTCTGGTCCCAGAATTCCAGTGGCTCAGTATCAAAAACCGCCGATTTTTTGTAGGATAACAATAGGATAGCCTCTGGTAAACTAGCATAGCTACTGAAAATGGCCATTGATAGTGGATTTTCCCATTAAAAATGGTGATTTTCAATAGTTATGTTAGTTTACCAGAGGGTAACTGGAAATGAATTTCAATAACTTGAACGAATTGATGTCGGCTCACAAGTTTCCAGGCGCTTGGAAGTGACTCAGTTGCTCCACCCTAAAAGAAAGTCAGCTTGAGACTTCCGCACTCCCGCCAGCATCACGTGACCCGGCCTTCCAAAGGTACTGTTGCGTGATTTTGTACCTGTAGCTCACACCAGAAATCTGTTTGCAACAGCCGGATATTGGATGAATGTCCAGGCCGTTTCTGAAACGTCTCAGCTGGAAGAAGTTCAAAATCTCGGTTCCAAATGAGCAGCATGGCTCGAATCTGGATGCGAACTGGCTCTAGTGGCTTGTAGCTATTCCAATAGTGGATTGAATGATCCCTTTTCAACAGCTTAGAAGAACCCAAAGATGTCCAAATATCAACCATCAACCAGTGGAAAACTTTGACATCGGACATCCTTTTTTTTCGTCACCGGACACCTCTTCGGAACCACCGGACTTCCAACATCTTGGGGCACCGGAACATTGGAGAAATGAGGTGCTTGATGTTGGTCGCGCATTTCATCAACTCATCCATGATCTCGTACCTCGCGTGATGAATTTTTCTGGTGATTCATGGGGACCACCACCATGGATTCATGGATGAAGATGATGATCCCGAATCCAAAAATGTACAGCAGCGGATGATGAATCAAATTCATCATGATGTGCAAAAATGTAGTACTGTATAATACTTAATTTGATGTTTCATAATCCCCACCATAAAAATGGGGTTTTTCTGTTTTCCAGAAAAACATCACCACCAAAAATCTACGGATCATCCCCATGAAGTCATCACCACCAGGATGAATCATCCACCGCTTCTCGAAATGCGGGAACTGTCCCGTTGAACTGCGATTTTTGTAGCTCTTGGAAGCCAAGCAAAGAAGCTTTCTGTCGCGTTAACAACCCCAAGTTATCATGTGGACTTTCCCAGACCAGTTTTTGATGCTCGATTCATGGTTATCCCCAGAGGTTTCGCTGAGTTTTTCCCATGGTTGATACATGTTGATACCCCAATGTGTTGCAAAATCCCCCATTTCTCCATATTTTTCTCCCATTTCCGGATCTCAAATTCTCAAATCCCATGAAAATCTCTGGTTTAGATATCCCCTGACACCCCGATGGTTCTCGGGATGAAAACTGTCCTCAACCAGCGCTGGTTGCGCCCGGACCTTCTCTGCTTTCTTTCCAGTTTGTCCAGCTTGGTTCTCTGCGCTGCCTGGGACGAGGTTTTCCTCACTTCCCTCATACCGAGATATGCGGAGATCATGCGGAAATGTGGGGAATATCATGGTGATATAATGGGAGAGTGGGGAGAATCATCTGCCTGGCTCAAGAAAAACATGGCGCCTCAGCAGCGCTTTCGTATTTCAGTTTCGAGCGCATCGCAGCTTGCACCTGAAGAGCAGCTATGGGGCCATCGAGGTTGAAGTCCAACGGGGAAAAATTTTGGCCACTCTTCTGGTAACACCAAAAAGAATAGAAATGCTTCAATTGACCAGAATTGGAGTTGGACTTCGTTTTTTTGCGTGGTTTCAAGTAACGTGAGTAAAACAAAAATAGACCATCCCCCAGTAATCACCATTTATAGGTGGTATATGGTGGTATAAACCATTCCCAACTGGGTGAGTTATGGATGGTTATGGCATTGTCTTACCCACAGGCAGCCCAAACCACCAAGTTTCCAACAAACCACGGCTGCGAAACTGGCCTCTGGCCGCTGCATAAATTTGTTCCAAAATTCGGGATTCCTTCGCGAAGGAATTGCGGGGCCCGGTGGGCTACAAAGAGGTCAAAAAAAGGGGGAGCACTGCGGTTTTTTTTATGGGAAAAATGATGATATAAATTGATATGATATAACACATTGGATTTGAGGGTTTTCCGGAAAACAATGTTCAGACAAATGTCGACAAATCCAAAGATGCATATTTCTCGGAACCCAGTCCCTTTTGTTTCCAAGAAAATTTTCAGCATCGGGGGATGTGACAATGGATTGGGCTGAGGAAAAATTTACGGCGGAAAATGTGACAATTTTACCATCCAAATCTAGGGGTTCCTCCAACTGTTCCCTCAAACGAAATATGGGAAGCACAGAACCCGATAACAAACGCCAATGGGTGTTTTTCTTGTGTTGGGATCGTTACATGATAAAAATTCAAAACCCGTGGGTAAGGATATGTACATATTGATGTTCTAACAACAATAAATAATAATACAGTAATACATATTTGTTCCTACACCCATGACAGTGACCCAGTCCTGACATCTTTCGCCATGGTCTGAATTTGCTGCGTGCAAACGTTGACCAAACCACAATCGCAGGAATTTGCCCCCGTGGAATTCCTCTGACTGGCCGGTGTGTGACATGTTGAACTGGTTGTGTAAAACCATCCATCCGTGTCCATCAGAGTCTATCATTTGAATGACCTGGCCACTTGTTCTCACTTTGCTGTGCACTCATGAAATCTGAGCAAAGCTGCGAATGTATGCCAGGTCGATTGCAAAGTTTTGGGAAGTCCAAAATTTTGAGTTTTGATATAATTTTGACCAAGTGATGATGAAATGCACACCATGATATGGGACTTAGCCAAATTTGTGTACGCAGAAACTGGGATTCGACATTTTTTTTTGTTCCGATACTATGTTGGTTTCAAAACCGCAACCACTAAAAACAAGACGAAAAATAAACCAATACCTTGCACCAATGCGAAGGCAGAGACTGGTTTTGCCCTGGAAACCTGGAAAGCATCATGTTTTCGAATTCATCCAACAGTTCATCCTATCGTTAGATCGTCACAATGATCATCACAACAAGTACATTGCAGCCATCACCCCTTGCCATAGCGACCTTCACAATGATCCCAACGCCACCAACCAAAAACTTGAGATCGAGTGCGTTAAAACTACCATCTCCCAGTCAGAAGAAAACACACGTACAATATTTCATGTGAAAAAAAAATGTTCAATCAGACTACCAAAAGTTTAGTTGTTCAAATAAACCTACGTCTCAAATTCAAAACTTTGTTCAGAACATTGAGGGTTCAGATTCCCAAGTCACAAATTGACACGCGCTTCACGTTTTCGCTGTGGTTTTTCCACTTTCCCCGATTTGTGACTCTGATTTTTGTTGCCCCTAGACTTGCCTTCAAAACGTCTGGCAACTGTTTCTTGATCCACAGATTCATTGATTCGTAGATTCATTGGTTCACTGATTCATTGATTCATCGATTGGTTGTTTCATTGATTCACTGATTCATTAAATCCTTGGTTCATTGAATCAGTGATTCCTTGATTCAGTGCTTCATTGATTGACTGATTTGCTGATCCGCTGATTCATTGATTCTTTGCATGGGTCAATGATTCATTGCTGCATTGCTTCACTGACTCATTGATTCATCGATTTGCTACTTCACCCACTCTTTGATTCATGGTTTCATTGCTTCATTGCTTCATTGATTCACTGATTCCTTGGCTCATTGATTGATTGATTGATTCATCGTCTGATTCATTGATTTATTGTTTCGTTCCTTCATCGATTCATTGATTCTTCCACTCATTGGCTCATTGATTCATCGACTCATTGGTTCATTGTTTCATTCACTCAGTTGTTCATGGATTCTTTGATTTCCTTTCGTTGGCATCTCAACAAACATTTGCTCATTCGTTGGTGCGCTTCCCAACTTTAACATTTGGTTGCTTCTGCATCTCGAAAACATCCCTTTTTTTTTCCGAAATTTCCGCCCCAGCATGGGCCAGGCACTATCTGGCAGATAAAGAATCGCGCGATGCAAACCAATTGTTCCAATCGCAATAGGGCTAACCAATTGTTCCAATCCGATAGGGCTGGTGTCCAAAACCATCTCCCATAGATGAGAATGGGCACCATAACCAATCAAAGCAATAAAGGTGAATCACCAGCAGAACATCAAGCTCCCCAATATGGTACCACGTCATCACGACCAGTGATGACGGTGTCAAATGTCAGAGACAAGCTCAGGCGTTTCAACCAAAGCATCTGCTTCCTATACCAAATTCCAATTTGAATGCACCATTCTGCAGCAATTTGTCCAGTTAAAATGACTGCGGTCACCAAACCGCCTCAATCCAGCTGAAAATCCACCATACGCAGAAATGAATACATCCCACGATAGGACTTCTCGTGGTCAGCCACTTCAGCATAACCACAATGTGTCGAAAGCCCAGTATCATGCGGAAATGATACACTTCACCACGGAGGTCAAAATGTAGAGGCATAGAGATCGTTCAGACATTGTATTGTGGATGGCGTCCACAGGAGATGTACATTTCCACACCCCCTTTCGACGTCCACAATCAATCTTGCAAACCGATCTTCAGGACGTAGAGCTTAGCTATCGCCAGAGCACAAAGTTTGCAGGATAAATCCTTATCTAAATTTCAAACCCGCTGTGGCGTAACGTCGCGTGCGTACATGGGCGTCTTAACGTGCAACAAAGACTACGCGTGTGAGCGAGAAACTAAACACAAAAAACATGATTGTGTAAAATTAACTCGCAGTGTACAAACCCGCAAACGGTGTGCCACAAACTCCAATTCAAGAAACATAAAAACATCAAAAAAGAAACTGTAAAAACTGCACGACAGTTCGAATGAGTTCACTTGAACAGCTTCTCACTTTTTGAACGAACGCATGGGGAATGTCCGAGTTCCCTCAGTCACAAAGGGCTGAGGGTGTGGCTTAATTATACAAACGTTGTTTTTGTTAGTGGTGGGTGGGTGGGTGAACAAAAACTACTACGCGTAGTGGACAAACCCGCCCACCCACCACTAGCCAGGCAACGGAGCCAACGTATAATTAAGTGTGCCACAGTGAAACATGAAATGGTTTCAGTTAAAATAAACGCAGAACAGGTTTTGTCAAAACAGTTGCGACAAACGAGTTGATCAAAAGATTCACACACCAAAACCGAAACAAGTCGGTAATAAAAAGGATGTTGTGAGAACCCAGATCAACACCGGCCGTGGCACACGCGTAACGCGTAACGCGTAGTCAGGCAACGTAAAGACGCGGAGACAAAGGAGACGCAGGAGCAAGGAACGCGCACAGCAACGTTGCGTGTGCAAAGCCATGCATTCATGGCAAATAAGGCGCAACTGGTTTGAAGTGTACAAGATAAGGCATTATCTGCTACGCAGAAAAGTGCTTATCTAAATTTCAAACCCGCTGTGGCGTAACGTCGCGTGCGTACATGGGCGTCTTAACGTGCAACAAAGACTACGCGTGTGAGCGAGAAACTAAACACAAAAAACATGATTGTGTAAAATTAACTTGCAGTGTACAAACCCGCAAACGGTGTGCCACAAACTCCAATTCAAGAAACATAAAAACATCAAAAAAGAAACTGTAAAAACTGCACGACAGTTCGAATGAGTTCACTTGAACAGCTTCTCACTTTTTGAACGAACGCATGGGGAATGTCCGAGTTCCCTCAGTCACAAAGCCCCTCCTCGACATTCAAAGGTGGGACTCGTATTCGTTGTGCAAAGCATTGTGATTAAGCTGTTGTCCAGATGCGTCCTTTTGGCACCCAAGCGTTCCAGTTCATTGAATCGACCCCTTGATGGGTCATCGCCAAGGTTTGAGTGTGTTGGGACACGAGCGAAAAAGGGGTGCAAGTCGATGGCCGCTTCCTTCATGGTGCCATTGTGGATGACCCTTCGCGCCGTTGTCGACTGGGCAAACCCAGCAATCCAACAAGCTTTGGCAGCTTCATTGTCTATGAAAACAAACACGCAAGCATGCTTAAGAAGGTGTTCCCAAACCCACAAGCAAATCGCATAAGGCAATACCTCTGCTTCGAAGACATGTTGAACCTGGTCGGCTCGGCCCCAAGTTTTGACAAGCGAGCTGCTCACCACATGGCCGAAGTAGTGCAACAGCCTTCCATGCCTATCTGCCAAAACTGCTCCTATTGCTACGCCGCTCCAGTCGTCTGCTTCAGTAACCTCTGAGCAGGCTCCATCCAAAAACAAGAAAAAGGTCTCCCTCTCAACGCAAGAAATGGTCCTGGGCGCACCAGTAAGCACATGGTCCTTGAACCATTCCAGCGCTCTTCTCACCTCAAGCGTCAAAGGGTTCAAGTTGCTGCGCATCAGACCGATGCGCCCGATGGAGTGCAGGGCCATCTTCGAGAAACGCCCAAAAATTTGAGCGTCAGCGAACAGCAGTCTCGACCGCAAGGACTCGGCGATCTGAGGTTCCAAGCTGTCATTGTCCAGGATGTGTGTTAACCGGTCCCTAAGTTCTTCTTTGCGCGCTGGAGTGTTTCCAACACTGAAGCTGCCATGCGGCACTTGTTCCAGGTTGAATTCAACGCCAAGAGCATGGAAGGTGGTCGAGAAGGGCTTGTCTTTCTCAGGGTCTTCCGCGAGCTTCCAGCCAAGTGAACTGAAAAGGAGCCTCACCATCCTGTCGGTTTGCACCTCTGTACCCTCAGGGCAGATGCACACATAGTCGTCGTAAAAAGAAGTCCATACCAAGCAAGCGCACGCTATTCCAATCGCCTTGATGGCTTGAGAAACACGAAGAAAAGCTGCTACTGATGAAGATGCCCCGAAGGGCATCGTGTGCATTCTGAAGAAACTTGGCTCACCCTTCTCAGGGTTCCATACAGATATCCATGCAAGGTCAAGGTGTTCGCCACGTATGGCAATCTGCCTGTAAGCCTTCCTCATGTCGTATGTTTTGCCCAAAAGTTTCAGCCCATCACCAGACTGCTGCATCCAAGTCTTTATAATGGCACAGATTTCGTCGACTGAGTCAACCACAAACTTGTCCTGAAGTCCAGTGGCGGAATTCACCTGTGAAGCACTGAAGTTGTCGATGGGACGCAGCTTGTTTTTCTGCTGTAACCCAAAGCGCGGGGACACCACGCTCCTGGGCCCTAAGTCGGACCGGGAAAAAGGGCCCTCCAGAAAGCCATCTGCTACTTCCTCCAAAGTTGCTTCCCACAGACGTCTGTCGGAATCCACACAGCCAGAACTCTTCGTCGCAGCAATCGATCTACCAGAGAAAACTTTCGCCATCTTGAACAAATGCTCAATGTGGAGCTCCGGCGGTCTCACCCTCGTGGGAAAAACTCCCGATGCTGGTAACCAGCCACTGAGGGGGAAGCCTTGTTGCATTTCGAGGGCAATTTTGCTGTCGGGGTATTTCATATCGTCCAACAGCTGCTGGAACAACACCGTTCTCTTAGACGCAAGCACCTTGCGCACATGCATTTCCATCTGCTGTCTGCAAACGTTCTCGGCCTCACGCAACTCGC